ATGAGAAGAGAAGACTCCTTGGAAAAGACTTTGATGTTGGGAAAGTGTGAGGGCAAGAGAAGGGGACAACAGAGGATGAGATGGTTGGACAGTGTCATTGAAGCAACCAAGAAGACAGGACTAAACCAGTGGTTCTTAACCTTGGGTTACTCAGGTGCTTTTGGACTGCAACTCCCAGAAGCCTTCACCACTAGCTGTGCTGGCTGGGGTTTCTGGGAGTTGCAGTTCAAAAACACCTGAGTAACCTAAGGTAGAAGGGAACGGAAAGCATGCTCGCGAAATGCGTGCTGTGGGGCGGGTGTTGCAGTTCTCATCTCGCGAGAGCTTGCCGGTCCCTCCCTTCGCATGAGACTTCACCGTCCAAGGAAAGAGGGGGGAATGCAAAGCAGGTTGGGAAACTCGGGCTTTCTCTCGGCGAGCAACCACGCAAGGCAGGCTGGGAAGTGGAGTGCGCCGCTCTCTGTGCCTTATCCGTGGATAAGAGGAGCGCATGCGTGGAAGCCAATGCTTCGAAGGCTCTTAGCGGATCTTTCCCCCTCCCAATCCGCCTCGTGCAAAGCGTGCTGGGAAATGGAATCCTCAAGCCGCTCCCTCGGACCCTATCTCTATGGGCACAAGGGCGTTTCGCTCTATCCCTGTCCCTCTCTATGGTTACAAAAAAATAAATCTGGAGATAAAGGAAGGTGGAAAAGCGGTTCACGTTTTTAGACTGGGTGCCGTTAAAGCCTGGGAGAGGGTGCTTGCGATTCCAGAACGGCCACCTTTTTAACCCGCCCTCTCCATTATTTTTTGGTGGACTACAACTCCTATCTTACCCAAACGTTTCAGTCCCAGCACATCTGCAGCGTAGCAAGTTAGGAAAGACGCCTCAAAACTGGTCTCTCTATCTCTAAGGCTCTTTTCTTGCAACCTGGTTTCTGGTTTGGAAAGACAAGCATGAAACCTCTTTAAGATAGGTGGATTCTGGGAACTGTAGTCCTAAAGAGTAGCACACCCCAGCTAGTTATTTTTTTAAAAAAACAACCCTCCAATGGGTGAAGCAGAGATTAGATGACTTCCAATCCTGTACAGATTGATTTATTTCTCTGTTTATTTCTACTCTTTGTACAATAACAGGTCTCGGAGGCAAACGAACTCTAAGCAAAAGCTCATACCTATGGAAATGGAAACTGCTATATGTGAGGATGCAAAAAAACATTAAAAACTTCTTTTTAAAAAAGAAGACAGCAACAATCAATCAAGACTCCTGGCGTGTTTGTATCTGTTGCAGAACGGAGAGAATCCGCTGTCTTTTCCTTGAAGGAGTCATAAGTCTCTTTTCCCAAATTACGACAATCGTGCATATTATGGAATGAGATGGTCTAATAAAGGGTGAGGGATAGCTCTGCGGTGGAGGCCTCTGGCTCCAGAGCCAGAGGTTGGGAGTTTGACTCTGCCACGAGGCCTACTTGACAGGGGCTGGACTGCATGATCCTTCGGGGTCCCTTTCCAGTTCTACCGTTCTGAGATTATTATTATTTTAACTCTACGTCATAGAAAAACCAGCCCTAATAGCAAGGGTCCCAGAAGCACAGAGGAATAAACCGGAGCACAGGGAGTTCGTTGATCAAAGTTCAGGTACAGAAATCTTCTCAACGGCCAACCTGAGAGAACAAGACTCAAGAAGGGAGCTAGAATTCACTTCACAAACTGCAGTTCAGCGGTCCACCTCAAGGGGGTGCTGGGACCAGTCCAGCCGCTCAGGATCAGCCCACATTGTGGTGCACCGCACACAGACAAGCACACTGAGATTCTCGCCCACCATGCGGTGGGGAGAAGGCAAGTTCTGAGTACAGCGTGCATGGGGTAGAAGAGCCGGCATTCGAACACAGAGCACAGTTCTGTTTTATGGTGTGGCTCACACGAATGGAGATCTGGGCTTCAGTCAGACATCATGGTACTCATCATGCTTGAATTGCTGGAAAGAGGTTCCCTCGCTCTTCGGTTGAGGGTCACCGAGCTACGAAAGCTCTCACGCAGTTTCAGGGAACTCCCTGTACCGGTGGAAGAATTGAGGTGGCCACGGTTGCTGTTCACTCCCCGGCACTCCGCCCAGATGCAACAGCAGCAGACGAGTTCCACCACCGCCGTCCTCACTTCCTTGCTTCCGAAGGAGTAGATGATGGGGTTGATGAAGGAGTTGGTCACGGCCAAGGTCAACAGCCAGCCGAAAACCTTGTGGAGCTCCCAGGTTTCGTCGGCCCAGAAGACGTCAACCACCAGGAGGACGAAGAGCGGGACCCAGCAGATGACGAAGGCGAAGAGGATGAGCGAGACGGTCTTCAGCAGCCGGAGGGACCGCTTGCGGCCGCACCTGGAGGTGGTCTGCTTGGCGCTTCTCAGGACGCAGCGGTAGATGGAGGCGTAGAGCCCCACCACGCCCACCAGGATCACGCTGAAGACCACCACGGCAAAGAAGAGGTAGTTCTTGGCGTAGAGAGGGAGCAAGGTGGAGCAGCGGCCCACGTGGCAAAGGCAGTTCCAGCCGAGCAAAGGGAGCAGACCGATCAGGATGGCCAAGGCCCAGCAGAAGACGATGAGGCTCCTCAGGCGGATGGTCTTGACGGCTTCGTTCTCCGCGATTGGCCGCACCATGGCGCTGTAGCGCTCCACCGCCGTCACCAGCAGGCTGAAGGTGGAGGCCGCCAAGGCCACGAAGAGGACGCCTTCCCGGAGGAACCACATGGTGGGCGTCAGCTGGAAGGTCCGGCTGCCGGACAGGCAGAGGTTGACCAAGTACGAGACTCCAGCCAGGAGGTCGCTGAAAGTGATGCTGGCCAGACAAGAGTAGACCCACTTCCTAGCCCGCACCTTTCGGATAATGGCCAACAGGACCAGAAGGTTCTCCAGGATGATGAGGCAACTGGCCGCAACAATGACCATCTCGAGAACGTTCACCTTGTCTTCTTGCGGCTTCCGGTTGTTCATCCTCCCCGTGTGGTTGTAATGATAGAGGATGATGTTGGTCATGACGTGGCAGAGTCCAGGGCTATGGACCGAAGCGAGGTGTGACTCTGATACGGAAGTCGGTGTCGGAGTAGAAGGAACAAAGGGAGAGGAGGACAACGAGGGTGAGATCCTTTGGTTGTTCATCTTCCAGAAGAATGCCTCCAACGGACAGGAGAACCAGTTCTACTGTATAGGATATTGAAACAATTCTACCCTTTTATGATGAATATAGAAACTGAATCAGATCGGGTCACCAGAAGAGCAGAAAAAGACCAAATCAGAAGCCGTCGGAGATCCTCGGTGGGCGGAGAAGGGTGGCCACCACGTTAGACATAGGAACCGCATATGTGGAACAGTAGATAGCAGGAATCAACGAAAGAAGGATTGACATGAATCGGTGACCCATTCAAACTGAACCAAACAATGGAAGAAGCAAGTCCGATGATTCTTGGTCGGGCGCTAGGCAGCGGTCAGGGCCAAAATTCATTGCAACGGTGAAAATGATTCAGAGGACTGGTCAGCAGGCCACGAACAAACCTGAAGGGAGGTCCGGCGTTCCCACTCCGCAGCCCTGGATAGTCGGGGGAAAAAGGCAGAGAAAAAAAGGGAGTCCGTAAAGCAGATCTCGGAAACAACTCGTTAAAGGGAACGTGGTTCACTGTAACGCGCCGAGTCTTTGATAGCAGTTATATTTCAAAAGTTGCGTAAAGAGCAGGAGAGAAGTAACTGTTGGTGTGGTGGCGGTTGGCTTTTTCGAGTTCTTTCTAAAAATTACTTTCAAAGGGTGTTTGGGGCATTTCAGCTGGGGGAATTTCCACATTTTCTGCCGGGACAACGCTGATCCCGTTATGTTTATTTAAAAAATAAAGCAACATGGAAATAGCAAAGCGATACAACCACCAACTAAACATTCAGAGAGCAACCTTCTAAGGCAGTTTCCCAAATGGCCTTTCCTTGCTAGAAAAGGAGGCTGTTTTCAATCTATTTTAAAAATGTTTTAAATCCCCCCCCCCCCCATGTCTGAAATCCAGTAATCAAACAACTCCCCGGCAGAGTCCACTGATTCAAACACACCTGCCATCACAAGTGACAACATATGAGGGAGCCAGTGGATGAATGAATGAATT